TACTCTATTACATTTACAAGAGCTTTACATTGTCTTCCACGATCAGATTCTTTTTTGCGTTTATCTCGGAAGAAATATCTTTGGAGAATAGATATTTATCTAACTTATCTGGTTCAGTAGATAATCAACATTTATTAGAACAAGCAAATATTAATGAATTTAGAAAACCTTAGCTGTGTAGAAAGAGTATTATATTAAAGATCAGTATTGTTCGAAAAGATCTCTTGATCATTTGTCTATTCTTAAAAAATGTGCACAATAATGTGCTTGCAACTACACAACATGTTCTTTAATTGATTATAATATGTTGAATATATTTATTCGTGAAAATTTTTATAATACGTTCTAATTTAATATCAATAAGTTTATTTAAGATGATCAGATTACCAATATTTGTATTGATCCTTATATTAGTTTATTTTTCTGTACTTCTCTTCTTTCTTTTTCTATTTTTCTCTATGTACTGCCTAGAGTCCGTTGACCACCAGTTATTGCAGTATTTAAAAAGAAAACATACCAGAAATAGCTTTCTTTTTGATGATTAGAAAGAAAAACGTATATGTTGTTATTATCGATTCCCTAGATAGATAAGTTGTAAGGACACAGATAAACACACCCATATTTTCTCATAACGAATACTTCAAAAGAAAAAGTCGTATTTAATTGGAAATTGTGCTTAATAGTTGCTATGATTATTATTATTATTATTATATTCATCTGATGTCTTATTATACATGTACTAATACATTATTACGAAATGTAATTATACTAATACGAGTGTGAGTAAACCAACTGGAAAGATATGGAGAGATTCAAAAATTATTTTGAATTTTCTACAAAATAATTCTAGATAGTTGTCGTATAAATTGAAATTTAAAACTTGCCAGTCTTGTGATCATATAATAATCTCAGACGATTTATTTGAAAAGCATTGGTTGACATTAAATGACATCCAATACTCAACGAAGGATTATCTATTCTAAAATTAGTTCATTCAACATATAAACTAAACCCAGTTGGTTTAATTTCATATCTTCTGATTCGCACAAATAACTTTTTTTTTGAATATTTAACTTCCGTTATTAAATAATTTATGGTTTCATTTTTCTCTTTTCTATTAAGTTTTAAAATAGTGAAAAGAACAAAAACAAAATAGTATTACTCATCCGAAATGAATAATCTAGCTAAATATGTGCAAGAGTTATCAATTCTTCGCATCGATTTTAAGTAAATAGTTTTTCACAAATTAGTAGGAATATAATGTATCTCCTTTCTAAGCATCAGGTTCCCGATATTTATATAATATAATTTTAAAGATTTCATGTTGTTTTTACATAAAGAATATAACCAAAGTCAAATCTAACTTAAAAATATGTATTGTAGCGAAATATGACAAAAATTATCAAGCCATAACATTGAAATTGTGATGATCGTATATGAGTGAAGAGTACAGCCATTGTACGGTTGTATCCCGACAAGAAGAATGCTTATAAGTCGAATTCTATTCAGTTGGTTACGATAATTTTCTTTTTGTTTCACTAGTCTAAAGATGATCATTTGCTTCTAAAAAGCATCAAATTTCCATCTGTTTTTGTTTCCAAAAAATCGTACCAATAGTGTCAACTATCTAGCTTAAAACGTCACTTGTTGGAAGAAAACCAATTTTTTTATTCCATTGAGATTTTTTTTAAAATTATTTTTGCAGCTAGAGCTGTAGAAATTGTCAAGAACTTCCAGAATATGTCTTTAATTTCCGTTTTAGACGAAGTTTTACGAATGAAAAACTATCGATAATAGACATTAAGACACTTTTCATTTTTGAGTACAGCGACATTAAACTCATTGATGTTTCATTTGAACAAATTTGATTCGATATCAAAGAGAACTAAGAGGAAAATAATTTAAGAAGAAAAAGAGATTTGTTTTATAAAAATTCGTTAATACAAACATTCCATGCACAATAAAAAAAATCGATTATCGTGCTGCGTGTAGGGCAACTTTTTAAATGTTGTTATTACTCTAACTCAATGAAAACTGAATCTTTTGTTTCAGCTCATACAGTGGAGTAATATCTCAAAACAAATCAAGCAAAAATCTTTCTCTGTTCGAGAGAAAATGCAATTTTACTACCAAAGTGCGGAGCAACATTTTTTTAAAGTAATTATACACTAAGACTGATTGATATACGAAAATAACATACAGAAATCAGCTCTGCTTCGAGATTTGTTTAAAAAAAACTATAATTTTGGTATCTCTATTACATCGGAAAAAGGTATCTAGCGCTAATTTCACAAGATTTTCGATGAAAGAATGCACTTATACGTCGTTATTATCTATAATTGGGGAAGTGTCTTATAGGTTTCTTCAAAATAACTGATATGCATGTTGATTCAAATCCCGACACAGAGAAGTGTTGATAAAATATTGTTTTCATCACATCCAACATTGCTCTATCAAACACAACACTTGAATGTTCTCTTATTCCTAAATTTATTTTTATGGACTTTTTCCTTGAACTCCATAATGACTGTGCTCTCTACTAATATATGTCGTGCTGAAGTTATTCTACATTAACTAAAAAGTTAAAAATAAATTCATTAACAATAATATTAGGAAAACATATTATCCAAATTAAAGTTACAAGCCAAAAATATATATTTCTTTATTTCAATCTAATATGTAAATAAATAAACACCGAAAACTAAGGGATGGATTTGAATGAAAATTTTTTGTATGTCTTTTTTAGCTTCACTGACGATTAATTCGACAATAAACTTATTAATTTATGATATTGCTGTATTATATTTGGGCACTAATGACTTACTGTTGTTTTTGAAGTTCATATCTTTCTGACGTCTATTGATGTAAAATTTCATCATTAAAACAGTTTTTTTATTCAATTGTTGGTTGATAATGCTTTATCGAAAAAAAGAAAATAATCTGACGAATTATTTTTATATTTAAAAATTTCAGTGTTCAAATAGTCTTTGGTCGTTTTTGAAAATATGACACACGGTTGGCGAAGTTATGTGTACCTATTTTATCTATTCGTGGATAATTCAGGAGTTCCATTTGATTAAGTTTGCAATTTTCTCAATATAGAAAATGCTGCAGACAAAACTATCATTTTTTTCTGTGAAATGAATTCTTTTTTGTACGATTATTAAAATGAATCGTTGGATTATTATCTAATAATCTCCTTATTTTCAAAGTATAATTTTCTCATTTTTCAGTGTTTATTCACCTATCGATTACGTTGAAATAAAAAAATATATATCTTTCAGTTGTAACTTTAATTTGGATAATATATTTTTATAATATCATTGTCCATAAATTAATGTTTTAACTTTTCAGTTGATGTAGAATAACTTCGGTGTTAGATATATACCTTTAAATATGTTCAAAGTCATAGATATTTATAAGATACCAAAAAAGATGTCAATTTCCTTCAAGCAAATCGTCAACAATGTCATGTAATAATTAGTGTCTTCTTCAAAATGATGTAATTCATTCCTCAATAATTCGATTTGATTATATAACTGACGAAAGAATATTTTCAGATGTCCACATCCTTGAAACTGATATTTCGCTCATCAGTAGGTCTTGACGAGCTATGAAAAGCTTCCAAAAGGTTTCTGCTCATAGGCGTTTCTTGCCAAGTTTCAAATTGTTCGAGCATTTTTCACGCACATGAAAGAAATGGCAACTGGTCTTTAGTCATTCTTAAAGGGTAGGAGACTGTAAATCTTCTTTTCGAGAGTAAACTTAATAATAACTGGATTATACTAGACTTTCCAATGTTGCAACTTTATGAAGTTCGAAGATGATAAGTCTTAAAATTACTTGAAATTTCATCATGGTTTTTTCAAGGAATACAAGCATTTATCGTACTGCTGAATAATCTATATTCGGGTTCGTATGAAAATCATGGAAATGATACTGAAGAAGAAACGTTGGAACGTCTAGTAAAATCTAGTTATCATTAAGTTCGCTCTCAAAAAACTTACAGTCTTCTATTTTTTAATAATGATCAAAAAGCATCTGTCATTACTTTCATATGCATGAAAAATACTCGAACCAGTCAAATTTTGGCAAGGACCGTCCATGAGCACAAACCTTTTAGAGACTTTTCATAACTCATCAAGGCCTATTTTTGAGCAAAATATAACTTTCAAAGACGCGGACATCTCAGAATGTTCTGTTATCAGATAGCACATGTACTGTTGAATATTAACCAAACAATGAGCAACATATACATCTAATATACGTGATTTGATTATCAAGAATTATAACTACTAATGAATAAAAATATTTTTTGAAATCATTTTTCATCAAAGATCAAAACTATTAGTTTTATCATTCTGACAAGCAATCGTGATCCTATGAACAATATCAATCACAAGTTATATTACTGTTTGTCAATCACCAGTTTTATCACGATGTAACACGAAAAAACTAGCATCTATTGTAAAAACTGCTATGAATCATTGACATTTTAATAAATAAGGAAAATTATATTACATTTATTTCAACAATGGAATCAAATAAGCAGAAATAAATTTGGCTATTGTCGCTGACGTGCTTTACAGTTTTAAATATTGAGTGACAGAACGAAATCAACTTTATAGGTTCAAATAAAACCTCTGTCTATATAGTTCACTAATGAAAACATTAAAAAAAAGAATTTTATAAAAATTATCATTGTCATCAAATAATCGAATTAAACATCTTTCTTATGATAAGGTATTTGATTATGAATCAATATATATCATCATCTCATTGAATATGACTTAAAGAGGAAATTATATTAAGTCTCATAAACAATCGAAATTTCTACATTGTATGATTTCTCTTCAAATCTTAGCACGATAACAATAAATATATACATTTTCTTTTGTTAAAGTTTATAAACATTCTCTTCATAGAATTGAAAAAAAAAGTAACGGAAGAACAAACAATCTTTTTTTGTTTCAGTTCAAGTAAAATAAAATTGTTTTCACTTAGAATTTGATTGTTTGTAAAAGTAAAACAAATCGATAGACATCCATAAATGAATTATAAAGAGGTATCGGTGCAACACGGATAACATTGCCACGAACATCTAACTAGAAAAACAAAAAACAAAAAAAAAAACCAATTAATTATTCTAAATAAAAATACAACTTACACAAACACCTGATCGTTCAAGTTCAGTAAATAGTTGTCGAACATCAACACCAATAATACGAAATGAAAGTTGTGCACCTCTTTGTTCAGGATCAGTTGGTGTTAAAATATCTATTTTAAAATGAGTTGATGATGCTAAACGAAAATAAACGAAAAAAAAACACATTTACAAATAGATATACAAAAAAAAAATATATGGGGATATCTACGATTCATTTCATGTTCGATCAAATATTCTAAATATTGAGTGAGTAATTTTGATTTTGTTCTCAAATTTTCAATGCCAGCTTCTTCAAAAACCTGTTAATAAACAAAGACATACATTGAGACTTTGCGTGCTGCATTAAAAATTGTCTATTCAGTCATTTCATAATTTTCTTAACATATAAAAATTAGTATTAATAGTTTATTTACCTGAAGACTTGCTGCTAATGTTGCACATTGATGAATAGATGGATTACTAATTCGAAATCCATTTGCTCCAAGACCTCGAACAATTTCTTGTTTTTTTGAAAAATAGAAATTTTTTCATTGACCGATGTTTTTTTAAGCGAAACTAAATTTTTTTACCTGTATTCATTTGAAACCGGGTCTCATCCTGATTACCCCACCAGCCATCAAACTTCGGATATTCTTTATTAAAATGATTAGAATGAACAAATATACCACCAACACATCCAGCACCTGAATTTAAATATTTGTATGAACAAAATGTAGCGAAATCAACATTCCAATCATGTAATTTCAATGGAATGTTACCAACCGCATGTGCTAAATCCCATCCAACTACACATCCCTAAAAAAAAAACAAAAGCAAAAAAACAAAAAATTTCTAAATTCAAGAAAAAAAAAGAATGATAAATTTTTACATATTGTTGAGCAGTTCGAGTAATCGTTTCAATATCAAATAATTGTCCTGTAAAATATTGCACACCACTAAGAAAAACAAGAGCGATAGATTGACCTTGTTGTTCAAGTAATTCGAGAATATCTTCTGTTCGAATATAATCTTCATTCTATTTGAATAATAAGAAACAGTTGAAAATTAGACAAAATATTTCATCTTACTTCTCGTGATTTTATTGTTAATACTGCTTCTTCTGTTTTATATCCATGATATCGAATTTGTGATCGAAAAGCATATTCATCACTAGGAAATGCTCGTTCTTCATAGAGAATTTTAAAACGTTCAGATGTCGGTCGATAGAATGAAACCTATTAAATAAAATCATATATAAATTATGTTCTATACAATTGAGATTTTCTAACCATCATAAAATGAATATTAGTCGTCAGTTGATTCATTACACCTACTTCATTATCTTCAGCACCTATGCAATTCAAAAAGAAAGTAAATAGAATTGAAATTGATAGATCAAATTTACCAAGAAGTTTCTTCAATGTTGGAATACATGGATAATCACAATAGGCAAATGGATTTGTCCCGTAAGTATGACCATAGACTCCTCTAAATAAATATTATTTTATAAAATATTTATATTTATAATAATAGAAAATTTACAGATCAGCCCAATCTTTTAGCCAAGTATCAATAAATGTTCGTACTCGTTTTGGTTGTAAACCTAATGAATGCCCACATAAATAAATACAATCACTTTGAAGATCTGTACGTGATTTATCAACTAGATATATAGATGAAGGTTTATATTAAAAAAAAAAACTATCATATTATAAATATACCTTTAGGTAGACTACCAAGTTTTGGCAAGTAAAATTCATCTCGTAGATTTCGTAATGAATCATTTTCATCGAGTTTACGAGCAAATTCCTCACTTGTTATTGAAACATTCCATTTTTTAGATAGATGATTAAGAATATCTTGTGGACTTGGTTGGTGACCTGATCCATGAAAATCATTATTCATTTTTATACCCGACGCGGTTGTCATCGTTGGCGAAATGACTATATCATAGATTGAAAGTATGAATATTAATGTTGGCGATGTATTATATAATTTGACAGGTTAAAGTAAGCGTAACCAATATATATGCGATAGAATGATTACTTAAGAGATGTATATGTTATTTATTTGAGTAAAGTACAAAGTTAATATGCAAAAGAAATAAAACGAAGAATAATATCGATGAATGATCAGAATAAATGCATAAATAGTAAAGAAAACATTTGTTATATTCACTTGTAAGAATAGTCGTTCTTATCACTGATCTAAAATTGCTCTTAAAGGTGTTGAATATTTTTTTTACCCTTATCTTTGAATTACTAATGTTGACTTTTTTAAGTATATTTTTCTTTATTATATATCTATCGACTACATGAAGACCAGATGCTGTTTACTCAATCTGTTATTGCTGTTTCGTTTTTTTGTCGATGATAAAAACATCATTTGACTTAGATAAAGTCTTATGACTTATTTCTTCGATTTGTCATCGTTAGTACATTTAACAAACCATAATGATAAATATTGTTGATATTATTTCTTATATATCATACACAGCCATAAAGCTGTCTTTTCTATATTAGTTCACATACAAGATATCAGTTATTTTTCTTCTTGAATAGTATAATTAATTACATCAATGACAAATATCCATTTGTAAAATGTTATCATAATGTAATTCTGTATTTTTATTCTAGTATATTCAAGAAAACTTTTCATTCATTATATCAAATAGGTTTCTTAATAGTAATAATTTTGAATGATCATAATTATTAAGTATTACTACTATAAGATAAACACAATATAAAACATGTATTGAGATATAATCGAATGTGATTTTTTGGTTAAATCAATCCAAATATGATATTTTTTACGTTGATTTTTCTTTTATTGATTCATGAAAAAAATATTTTGTCTTCTTTAAATAATAAAAAAACAATAGATGTGACACAAAAAACGATCAGTGTGGAGTAGAATTTGGCGGTTTCAACAATTACCCAAAATTGCTAAATCATGATATATATAAGAAAATTTTAAATCTATTATGAAAAATTTTCATTAGTGAATTATTGACATTAAAGATATCACATATTTCAGTACTGAAACTAAACAATATTATGTATACATACCAGAGATGCCCATCGGGACTGGAAATCTGTTGATGCCGTGACGTAACGCGGTGAATTATACAAAAAGTTGCCGTCGACATGATAGTTTTCGAGAAATTCTTCGAAAATCTCTTCCATCACTGTGCTAAATTAGTATTATTAGATTGATTCCATCAGATTCATCGCGATTCTGACTATTGCACTTGTAGACACTCAAATTGGGTGAAAATTCATTCGATTTTGCAATTTTCCTATAAAAACTAGTTGCCACTGATCTCATCACGGCAGCGAAGAATTTTTGTATCTATCTGACGGCTTAACGATTCCAATAACTTTAAAAAAGTCAGTTCTCGTCCAGTTTTCGGCTCCAGTTTTTGGCAACCACCGAACTCTAATGTGAAGCTCATGTTATCAAGCAAGTCGCATAAACGATTAAAAATAATTTTCTTCCTCATTATTACGACTGTTCTACTAATCAGAATTATGCATAACCTCTCTGTATTGCAGTGAAATTGTATAAATACAGTGTGCCTGCATGCAGTGAATTGTTGTTCTTGTTTACTCACCTATAACTACTTTCAGAAACTAATAATCTGCACGAAATTTAAGAAATCTTGTATTATGTTATTTCAAAATGATTAGTAGATTTGAGTGATATCACTTTTATTTATCTATGTATGTCTACTCATATATATCTTTTATTGTTCAATTAAGCTAAAATTGAATTCATGTACTGAGAATTAGGTCATCTCCACAAAGTGATCATTTAAGTCTATCTCAAACTGTTCGCTTGCGACGTTTGTTAATTCAGTTTTACGTCGCATAGTGTATTTGGAATTTCAAGAAATGAAACTAGTCTTTTTTTTTATTGCTATTGGTCTAGTGTTAATATGTCTTATTTCAAGTTTACGTGATTAATTTTTTTTATTATCAATGTCTATTGATATTTTAGAGTAAATGAACAAACTACTCATATATGTAGCCCAGGTCGAGGCATTGGTAGCAATGGTAAGCCACGGCAGTATTTTATACATAAAAATAATCGAAAACAAGCACAACAAGCTGTACGACATCAAGATGATGGTCGTCCACCAATTTATCATAATGAACGTGGTAAAAAATTGCACTTTCATTCATCGAATAAACATGATAATATTCGAAAGAGATGGAATTCATTTTCAATATGGTAAAAAGAAAAATGATTAAATAGAAATATTAATATTTCGACTATATATTATATACAGGTTGATTACGTTATTTTTAATAGTTTTATGTAGCTCGCTGTATTCATATAAAACATCGAAAGTTTCTTATTTTGGCACAGTTAGATAGAGCATCGACTGCTCTATCGAACCATATGGTTTCCATTTTATCTCTTTTGGTTCTAGTCCAAAAAATTGATAAATCTCAAAAGCAGTCAAAAAAAATTTTTTTCAGGAAGCAAGTTTCAGATGATGGCTAGGAGTAGAATAAATGGCTGCATTTTATGCTTTATTTGTGCTTGTTTTATTAGAAACAAAATATACCAGAAGATACAGCATGAAAAGCTCTACAATCTACATGATAAACCTTATTTTAATTTTATACCTTTTGTACTCAGAAAAGCAAAATTCGGTGCGACCAACTTTCGCCATCGTAAAAAAAATCATTTTTTTTTACATGAACAAATATTCTTTTATTTAATTTCATATTTTTATCACCTAATATATCTTTGTAAAAAAAAGCAATATATACCAAAAGATGCAGCGTGAAAAGCTCTACAGTTTAGACAGTAAAGCGTATTGAAATTGTCTATAAAAAAAATAAAAAAAAGAGGTTGTCGGACAAATTTTTGCACGGTCGAAGTTTGGACGCTCAAAATTTTGCCCATTTTGAAAACAAAAACTAAAAGTATAAAGCAAGCGGTTTTATATAAATTGCAAAACTTTTCATGTTGCATCTTCTGGTATATTTTGTTTCTAATAAAACATGCAAAAAGATACAAAGCACGGCTATTTATCCACTCCTAGCCATCATCTGAAACTTGCTTCCTGAAAAAATTTTTTTTTGACTGCTTTTGAGATTTATCAATTTTTTGGACTAGAACCAAAAGAGATAAGATGGAAACCATATGGTTCGATAGAGCAGTCGATGCTCTATCTAACTGTGCCAAAATAAGAAACTTTCGATGTTTTATATGAATACAGCAAGCTACATAAAACTATTAAAAATAACGTAATCAAGCTGTATATATATATGCATAATAAATGTATACAATGTGAATGTCTAAATAAATTGATTGAAACACCAATCAGGAAGAAAATGATATTTTGAGTCAGATGATTTTGTCATTGTAATTGTTTGAGACGATGGTAAAAAACGAAATAGAACAACATCCCTTTATAGAAGAAAAAGATTTAGAATTTAAATATTCTATATAGAGTAAAATTTACTTATGATTATATGAGTATTCATTTGTAACATGTTCTTTAAGAAATTCAGCAAAAAGAAAAAAGAAATTGAAGAATGATTGACGAGTCCATGTACACTATATGAATACAAAATAGATTTAATCAATAAATGAAATTTAAAATAAAAATATTACTGTTGCTGTTTCAATATCTGTTATATGGAGCGGTGTAAGACTATTAACAATACCATTATTATCACGTAAACCAATCACCATTGTTTTAATACCTTTAATACATACATATATTCAAATTTTTCAAAATAAATTATAGAACAAAATAAACAAAAGAATATTTATTACCAACAAGAAAACACTGAATCCACCATTTAGCAAATTTACGATTGCTATAAAAAATAAATAATTATATATGAAATTTATTCATTAACTTTTTATATTCACTGTTTAAATGGTAGATCATCGAGTGATCTTCCAGCACAAACTTTAAGTTCAATATGTTCAGTTATCGATGATGATTTTTCCACTACACAATCCATTTCAGCACCATATAATAGACGATAAGAACCTATTGTTGCTTGAAATACTCCAGCAAATTGTCTTGAAGGATTTAATGGTTCAGTTAATGTATCATCTAAAGATCCAAAAAAAGAAATATGAGAATAATATTCGAATAAAATAAATTGGTGAGAAAAAGTTTAACTCCAATGAATTTTTTTTCTATAATGTACAGTACCGAGCTCAAATCCAGATAGTGGCTTTAAGACAGAGATTGGATACTTAGTACAATACTTAGTACTTTTCGTACTCATTACAGAAAAATCTTAAGTACTAGTACACTTTTTGAAGTACAAGTATATGTACTGTGTACTTCAAAATTGTACCTTGTACTGCAGTACCAGTACAAAGTACAAATTTTAAGTACCCAGTATTTGTACTTGTACTTACTGTGCTGATACTGATCCAATGTCTGCTTTAAGAGTCAATTAAATTTTCTTTATAATACATTCCATAGCAAAATTTTATAGATGAACTATAAGGCAAGGTTTCTAAAAATCAGATACGGTAGCCTTCAGATCCCGAAAAACTTTGTCAAAGCTATACTTTTTAACAATGCCATTTTAAAGAGCACAAAATTTTGAACATAATGAAGAGTCGATGAATTTTCCAGGACCTTTTCTTAAAAGTTAAAAGTATTACAAAAATCCTAAAAAACCAAATTTATCGAAAAATTGACTTAAAAAAAAGTTTTTTCCAGGTTTTATGATGCTTTTAAGTTTATAATGAAAGATCGTAGAGAATGCGGCGATCCCTCATTACGTTCAGAATTCTGTGCTCTTTAGAACGAGATTGTTAAAAAATAGCTACGACAAAGTCTTTCGGGACTTGAAAACTACTGTGTCTGGTTTTTTCAAAATCTTGTCATCATAGTTCATCTATGAAATCTTGCTATAGAATGCATTAGATAGAAAACTTTATTGGCTATTAAAATCACTATTTGGATCAGAATTCTCGATCAGAGAAAATCTTTCTTTCTCCCCAAAATGCCCGACTTTCTGCCAATTTTTTATAGCTTCGTGGTAACATTGGACAGAAATCGAATTGGGAAACATCATTCACTTTTCTCTGACAGAGAGTGAAATCAAAATAAGCATACAATGTCATTGCAAGGCGAATAGAATTGGCGTAGACTACGAGAAAGGGGCGGTCTAGTAGCAAGTCATCAGATGTGAGAGGAAGTAGGTCATAGTGAGTTTTGTTCTTTTCCATTCGCAGTCATCACTTCTAGCGCTTCAAGGATAGAAGCATTTTCTACTGAATTTTTTGGCTTCTATCACTCCTAAAAAATATCGATAACCCTAAGTTGGATGCTTTGCATTACAGAAAAATATCAAACATGCATTATTGTTAAACTTTTTTCCACCACTTTATATTTACTTTTAGTAACATATTCTTCAAACTTGTGACCATAATAACAAAATGAACGATGTTCAGGTGTCATATTTTGTTCATCTTTTTTTTGCATATCTGTTTCAAATTCACATAAAAAATAAGCGTTCTTAAATTTAATAACAGCTAATAACCAATCAGAATGTTTTTCATAAATTGAAAACATAATAAGACGAAGGACACCACGCCATGAAAGAAAATCAAATGTAAATCTATTATAAAAGAAATACATTTTATATTCCAAAAAAACATCAAAACGAAGATATTTACTGATTATTTTTGAAAATATCTTGTTTATGTCGTAATATCCACCAAAGCATTGCATTAATATTTTTACTTTGTCCTTCGGAAATAAAATCTGATTCACCAACTTTGAGATCAAAATTAACATTGAGTGTTTTAAGTGGATATTTATAAACTAAAATAAAACTTATATATATATATATATATCAAACCTGAAAGTTAATTTTAATTATTGAGTATCTTATATCTACAAAACTTAACATTCAAATATTCAACTATTCATTTCTCTCATTCAAAGAATAGTTGAATATTTAGAAAAAAAAGTCTTCAATAATTGAATTCAAATTTCAGATTTGATACTATTGAAATCTGTAGATAATATTTTTAGATAAATACTAGTACTTACCGCGAAGATAACGTTTATCTTCAAAACATTCTTTGTCATCTGTTCGATTAAGTAATGAAAAATAACCAATTTCATGAGTTTGAAATTGAAATGATGATTGTCGATGATTAAGATTCTTCCAAAATGGAACAGATAATGAATTGTTTTTCATTTCTGTTATTGAACAACGATTTCCATCTGAACGATGGCTGCATTTTTTAGGTGATTCAACAGGAATTTCTTCATTTCGTTTGCGTTTTTCTTTTGTTGATGGTGAGATTTGTTGAATTGTACGTTGAAATACACCGGTCTCTTCTTCAATTACAGGTTCATCTTTTTCATCAGATTTAGTTTTTGCACTAGCCATGATAAATTAACTATCTAAAACAGGAGATGTTATTTTGCCAAATATGATACAATAGTTCAACCAATGACTTTTTGATTTAATGGATCTCAGTTTTCATCTTAAAAAAGTTCATTCTATTTGCTTAACGCTTTGATTACGATTGTGCTTTTTTCTACTAGCAAAAACCATTTGTTTTTTTAAGGCAACTAACTGCACGAAGTGCAGTGACCGACTTATTGTTTTTCAGTCTCTTGGTTGCCTAGTATCTTTCTTTCTCCTTCTTCTTCTCCTCCCGAAGGATACATGAGTCATGATTCAAGTCAGTCATTCATTCTCAACTCTCAAGCATCATTTTGAGTCGAAAGAAAGCTTGGCGAGATCCTGAGAACGTGATGAGCGCATATGTGAAATCCGTTTTTCGAAATTCGGCGGCGTTCAGAAAGGACAAAAAATGCCAAAAAAGATAATTAACAACTGATAGTTTCCTTATATGACTATGCAAGAATCAATCTTAAAATGACCATTCATATCTTAGATGTTAAATATATATGTATTTTAATTAAATTATTTATGGCCATGTGCGAGTTGAAATTTTCCACTGTAAAGTCTCTAACATCTAAAAAGACTTTATTATGGCTTCTAATCATGAAATCAGAAACTTATCACGTCTACAGTCAGCCGACTTCTCTACTGGGCCAAAGGTCGGGTGAAATTCTAGTTTTATTAATCAGTTGAGTCATACAGAGTATTCTATCCAATCTTACCATGTAGTGACTTACAGAACAACCGGAACAGACTAGGCAGAGTTATTACACTACTATTGGTATAACGTCTACAGTGACTTTTCATGCAATATCTTGGATGTGACACGCTTTGCCTCAGAAGTAAAAACCTTCTGTTTCATGTGTAGAGACATTTTGTCTCGGTATCGCTCTATGACGCATTGTAGTACACTTCAAGATTAAGAATATTTCGTTACACCGCTAAGTATAACCTTGTATGGTAGACTAGAGTAAGGACAGAAAAACAGATCATCAAATAGTATAGTGTATGAAAAGTCATGATCTTGTAGAGCTGTACTAAAGCGAAAAGATTATAATTGCAACACAAGTAGTTTGAGAAAAGCTCAACTCTTATATATACGAGCATGTAACTAAAGAATTACCTATAGAATAAATATCTTAAGTTCACAATAAGTGTAAATCATTCTTTATTAGAAAAACTTAATGAATCGATCAATTATCAATTTCTATTTTCCGATCACTATCAATTTTAATTTCTTAAAGAAGTAGCAAAATGAAATAAATATAAACTTTTCAATATAGTATATAGTTTGTTATAACCCAATGAAAAATCAATATTCAGTTTATTTCTCTTAATATATCTGATCATAAGATGTGAGTCTTCTAAATTTGAAGAATTATTATATTTGTCTACGAAGTGAAAAATATTTCAATTATAATCGAAATATTATGTAACAAAATCAAAATTATAATTAATTTAATAGATTTTAATTTGATTGTACAATAATCTGATTTTAATCAAAAGATTTTTCACAATGTATCTTTGTTTTTTTTTCTCCTTTAACGAATAAATATATAAAATGATCTAAAAGGAAAGAAAATACTTTATAAGAAACAACAAAATCACTGTTCATATAAATACAAATACATGAAAAAAAAATCAAGAAAAATACAGAAGAAATATAACATATTCAATGTTCAATATAACTATATTTGCAAAATTGGATTTGGATCAGGATGAAGAGCTGGAATAACAATCGATTGAAAATTTTCTATTATTGTTAATATTTGTAAACGTGTTATATTTTCAAGTGAAGCTATTTCTTCAAGATGATAAGTTCCATTGAGATATTTTATAATTCTAAATAAAAGATATAAAAAAAAAAGCAAATAAATATTAAGAGTTTAATCAATAAAAAAGAAATCTACTTAAGAAAATCAGTAACATGTTGTTCTTTTGCATCTTTAATAGCTGATGCAAGACGTTGTCGATAGTCCTGTCCTTCATTCGGTAAAACTTGTGTAATTTGTTGAAAATATAATTGTATTCGATTAGTAGTTGCTATTGTACTACTGTTTGATGATGCTGGAATAAATACATCATCATGACTAGTGCCTGTCGAAGTTTTTAATGTATCTATTGATTTAGAATGATGAGTAGATGAATATGATAATGGATTTATCATGGGAGATGAAGCTAGAAAAATAAAAAAAAACAATGGTCATTAGAAAAATAATTCAAACGGCGTAACCAGTAATTTAAAATATAATCCAAATCAAAAGAAGCAGTGAATTTCTCTACTTTCTTTTTTTGTAACAATCTTTTATTATGCATCAAATTTTCATATGATAGAATACCAGCAAATTTTTACATTTATCTTAAATATTTCAACTCTTATGATAACGATATATTCGAAATGTTTGACACATATGATTGCTAAATCTTTCAAAATGACAGAAAAAATTCCGAATGTTGAGCTGTTCGATTTAGCTAAATTCGAACTTTTTTGAATTTAATTATAGCTTTGTAAGTTGACTCTTTCCAGCAATTAATGCATTTTCGTTATGTTATTGTAAGCATTATATAGGGCAGAGTTTTGAGACTACTAACAGTACATGCTCTCGTCAATCGTAAATCTATCCAAACTAAACTGAATAGACTACATTATTAAAAGAAGTCATTTGAATAAACTGAGTTTTAACTTTAAGAAGGAAATTTTTCACATGGATAATTCTAACATGTTAAACTAAATTAGATTCAGCTGTGAACGATGAGTTTGAGGATTCAGAATACAAATATAAGTGAGGTTGAAGAAGGAAAAAATCTATGTCACTAACAATTTTCACATAAAATGCTGATAGAATAAAAAATATTTCAATAAATAGAAGCAATATATATATATATTTAAACATCGAATAACTACTTTCCGAATTTTTTCCGAAACTTTTATAAAAAAAAATCCAATTAATAACTTTTCGATCTGATAACTCTGTTGATAGTCGAAAACTTTTGTTGTTTTTGTATTCTATTATATGATATCTACGTAAAGCAACACTATTATCTCTTTCTTTCTTTTGTGGTTTTTTTATAAATCGTAGAGCAGCACCTATTTTTTTGTTACAGACATAAAGCATCACACCAAAGCAAGAAACAAAAAACGAATAATAATTCTTTACCCATATTATATTCAAACCCATGTATACTCATTACATTTCCTCGTATATCAATATTTTCATTAGTCAAACAGAAACGTTCAGTTTTAGATGATGATCCAAAACGTTCTGATGAATACTGATTACGCCGCTAGAAGAATAAAAAAGAAAAGAAAATTGTCTTTTCACTCACATAATGTTACTAATTCAGACAAAAGTCTCACAAGTGGTGTACGTGGCTGTGGTAAACGTGTTCGTTTATATTCATCTTTAAAATCATTTCGATCATCATTTGGTAAAAGAAGATAATAATAATAATGAACTTGAATAAGCAAACGATGACGAAGTAACCATTCAACACATTGAAGACGTTCGCGCTTAAAAAAAAATATTTTTGTTTTTCGGATTACTAATTTAATTGATTGAAAATTTTACCAAATCGGTCTCATTATCGTTACGTGATATATGATCATAAAATGTAATTGCATCTGAATATTCAGCTAATGTTTCTTGTAATGTTGAATAATTAGATGTATTTTGAAATGTTTCTTTATACATTTTTGATAGAGATCCGTGTCTAATAAAAGAAAATTATATGTATAAACTATTAGAAATATATATATTTATTTTTGATACTTGGATATGTCTGAATCAGGTGAGATAATATAAATATTATCATCATGAATAGGATAGATAATTTTTGCTCGACCCCAAAAAAGTAAATGAGCTGTGAGACGATAGATCTAAAATAAAAGAAAAATAAATATTTCTAGTAGAAAAGCAAATATTAACAAAAACAAATAAACTGACTTGAGAAAGTGGTATACTGGTTTCTATTGATAAACGAGACAGTGAATATGATGAACGAAGATGTCTTACAAGTGTATTTAATGTCGATGAACTATCCGTTGGCAAAGAAGCAAGCAAGGCTGATGGATCAATTACAAGCAATAAGCCATAATATGGTCTAGAAATATAATGAATAACTACATAGATAAATATGAACAAATAAATAATCCATCGAAAAGCATTTCATAATCAAGTCTATCTATGTACAATAAATTTATGATAATCATAGGCTTTCCTATGCTAGATAAGTAAATAAGGATTTAGGACAGTTGCACATGGGTATTTGTTCCTTGGAACCTATGAGCATGGTGACATTTCTACCATTAAAGAGATGGTCATCAAATAGATTCTATCTTAAGGTTTTGAACTGATGATGCACAATAATATTCGTTCAAACTATAAACTCAATCATTCGAATATCGACCGAACTGATCAATTGATTTTCCTATGACATTTTGAGAGTGGATGTGGGTGAAAAGAAGATCCATACATTTGTATTCACACTCACATATCATCAACACTATATCGGATAGTCAACCACAAAAACAAAAAACAAGTCTTTCAATAAACAACGATAAAATTTGATTGACAATCTATATGTAGACACTAACGATCAGTTACAGTATATTGGATGTTTACTATCTCTATAAATTCTCTTTCTACTTCTATTTGTGTATTCTTGTTCAATGTTGCTATTTTCTATTGATTTTTTTTATGTAATTTTGTGGAACAACTACATAATATATTCGAGTTGTTTTTTTTTTGTGTTTTCCTCAAAAGTTTCTTCAATGAGAATCTGCTCTAGTGTACAACTGTTCGACTCCTGCAAATAATGCAAAAATAGATCATTACGGTATTCTCATTAAGTGCTCATAAAAATTAATTTTGTCCTTTTCTCTATATATAAAAAAAATACAAATTCTCGTAAAAAAGAAATGTTTGTTTTATACAACTAGATTTTGATAATAATACCGTAGGCGAAATAAATCTTACTTAAGATATTGCTCAGCATTTGAAAGAACATGAACAACGTAATCAATGTCTAATGGACAATTTATAGGAATTGATCGATGTGGTAAACAATAAGAAACGTTTAACCAATTATTAATCGTTATATTTATTTCACCAGATACTTGTAAACTAGATAAAGAAATCATGAATAATCTTATCTGTAATTTTTTTCATTCAATTAATCTATTTTACTCAATATATATTTGTTTTAATGTTGCTGCTAGAACACTTTGTTCGATCATTGTTGAATAAATTTGTTCTTTTGTTCGATCTTTTTCTTCACGTTCTTTTACATTATCTTCATTTGGTATACGAGTTACTAATAAAAATACAAATACAAATTTTATTTTAAAATTTAAAAAACTTAATACATCGATCATTTGCTTCAATATCATGTTGTTGAATAACACTTATTAATTTTGCATATTGTTGATTTAAATATGATGCTCGTTGTTCTTCACAGCGTATTGCTGTACCAATACGTTTACTCATTTCTTGATAAGATAATATAACGGATGCTTTAGCGATAGCCTAAATTATCAAAAAAATTAAATAAAAATTATCAATATAGATAATAATTTAAAAGAAAAGGAAAGTACTCGAAGTGCAAAAAATATTGCAAATGATTTTAAATTTTTATTGTTTTCTAAACCAAGTGTATGACCAACAAAAATAACATCATCAACTTGTACTTCAACATGATTTCCATAAGAATATGGACTAGTTAAGATTGAAAGAGTTGTTTCATCAAAACTAAATGAAATAAATAATAAATAAATTATATTCTTCATTTTCATACTTTAAAAATGTCCTTCGGGATGCATCATCATCTTTAACACTAAATTAATACATATATAGATTTATTCGTTTATCATTTTATTTTACCTTGGTGGATCAAAGTCTTTTGCAATAACAATTGAATAAGGAGTATAAAAAGTAACTGGTTCATCTATAAAAATCTTCAATGAAATTTTACATAATGATAACAAAAGAATATAATTACGTATTCCTTTATATGTCTTAATTTCTTCATATTTATATAGAAGTTTATTTTTGTCATGAACACTTTCAACAACAAGTAATATTGCAATAAGATCTTTTTCGAATTCCTTTTAGAAAAAAATAATTAATAAAATTGAAAATTATAGATAACTTACTATATGTTCCATTCTGATCGTTTTATTTTATTTTTATACGACTTTTTATCTTACATAGAGAATTAGTATGATCAGTTGTGAAAATATAAAAGAAGATAAATATCAGCTGTTTCAGTTACAAAAAATAAAAGTTATTTACAACCATACTTCGCTAGATATACACAAGAGGTCGCTGTATGCCGACAGAGGATAATTGTGTGTGTGAATGTGGGAGATGACGAGAATAACTACAGTCACACTCACGCAATCACACCTCCTGCTCTAGAAACTTAGATGCGCCTTTGAAGATGTATAATAAACTACCAAATTATCGGTTTCTCAATGGTAAAGAATACAGTGATAAAATAGGACGACTATTCAGTCAATGAGATGAAATCTTGACTATTTCTAAAGTATTAAAAGTTTATTATATTCTCTATTGAAGTAAATAGTGGACCGAATGAATTGGTTTTTTTCTGTATTATATAATTTAGAAGGACATTTGTTAAAGAAGAAATCTAAGTGCTACCAATGCGATCATTTTCCGTATAATTCGACAATGAAAAAAGTTGAGAAACTCTATCTTCCACCATTCTTGAGGTTACCGATTACTCAATCAATCATTGAAAACATTGAATTTGAAGCCTTGCAGAGGATGATACGCTGAAAAGTTTGCTTATATTATCGTTAAAAGTATCTAGTAACTTTAATGAATTAATAATGCAACATATACTCGAAGTGGTTCTTTACAAATCGACAAGTAACAAATCTTTCTAGCAATAATATTAATTGCATGTGTACATTTTTAAGAGACTTTTCTCAGTAAAATATACCGAGAGAATACATAACAAAACATATTATCGATGATAATCTACTTTGTACGAATATGATTATAAAAGTGTCTACCAATCATTCATTTCGAATTACTGTAGAGTTGTTATGGTTATTGAATGTTCGACTAAGAGTAAAAATTTCTTTGTACATATACATCAAAGATAAGAGAGAATGTGTGAATGTGAGTGTGAATCTTGTCTTCATTCAAACTCACACTCGCATCCACATCCAATTAGTATAACGTATGTACCGATGTTGATATCACCTCCCGTTGATTCTTCTTTCCTCTTTTCTCTTTATCCTCTCTTTATTGTTCTTTCATGTGCTCATCTCTTTCTCTCTTCTCTCTTCTATATAACCGCATGTTGTATGTGAAGTAGTTACATTCTGGAGATGTGAAGTAGCTAAATAAACATCATTACCGAGAGTGACGGTAAGCTACTTCTCCAATCTGTCATTGCACCTTCTCCTATTTGTTGTTACAACGTGCACCTTACTGTCCTACAATAACAGCAACTATATTGTCTACGAAAAACTGGCTCGAACATCAAGAAAGGAATTGGCCCATATCGCAATGGTAAGCTACAAGTGGGGTTCATGTTAGAGTATCACATTGTGGGTTGGCTTTCTCGATCGAAAACTAGCGTAATCTTTCACTATTTATTTCGATCCGTTTCAAGTAAGATGGTGAATATCTAGGGTGTGGGTGTAAGAAAGAACTGCACCCACACATCCACACCCTCTTTCCTATTTTTTAGGCGTAGAAAAATCAAAATACATTAATATTATTTCGAATGCCTGTGGTGCCTTTCGAAATGTACTTGCTTGAAAGTTGCTAGAAGCAAGAAAGGATCTTGGAGAGTCATCCAAGGACGAATCACATGGCTCTATCGAAGATAAAAAGAAAAATAAACAGGATTTACAACATTGGATTAATGATAACGGATCAGTAAAGCAAATTTACACCATACCTTCTCTTCTACAAATGTTGGTTAAAAATAATCTGTACTTTCTTGCTAATGAGGGCGGTGCAATTTTGCAAGAAAGCAATTTTTTCAATCCTTCTGATGCAACTGCTGATGCAAAACAAGGCAATCTCATTGACTGTAATATTAATCAGTTTTCTTCCGCATTGGAGAACTTAGATATTTTTGTACCCTATATTTGTCTTCTAATAGGTTGGGACGGAAATACCATCATCAAGAGTATAATAACGCATGGCAGTAGCGAAATAAAGCACCGTACTGTATCTTTATGTATTGCAAGTACAGGCCGTCGGTGGCCAGATTTATTGAGAGAGTTGGTTTAAGTATTTATTTATATTTACTCATGCTTACTCTGAATTTTAATCATATCTTTTTTGTATATTACGATAGAAAAATTCAAATAGCTGGTAGTTTGCACGAAAGATGCACATATTTCTGTTTTGACATTCAAGCTTCTTCTGATACTGATACAATGCCACCATCTTCAGAAAAAGACTTCTTCTTAAAGGAGGGGGGGGGGGGGTCGTTAAGAGGCAAAAACGACTCCTCGTCGGAATTCTGCCTTGTCTTTCCAATTTTATCAGTTTAGGTGACAGAAGTCTAGTTCTATTGAAATTAGACAATTTGATGAGTTTCACATTGTCCACGACTCGACTTAGTTATTCTTCTTTTCTTCATGTTATATAGGACATATATAATGGTAGTATAGTACTTTTAATTATCAGAAACATATTAATCCATTTCGGATCATATAGTAATCGACAGATCTCTTCGAGATCTATCAGATGATGGTAAAATATCTAGAGAAAAAAGTGGCTAAGTGAGTCTAGTGATCGACACAATGGGGACAGGGTTATATATTACAGAGTGTAGAGTGATGGTAGAGAACTTTTGTCTATGAGAAACATATAGGTCCACTCTGAA